CAATTTCCACCTCTTTTTCACAATAAATTAAAATAAATAAAAACATAAATTATAATTACCAAACTTATAATATCTCACCTCCATGATTTCCACTTACCTTCTGGATACCGGAAATTCGCGACGACCGCGCGACCGAAACTCAAATCAGATGACATGGGTAATTATCATAGATGGTCACAAAACTATTCAATTTGTACAAAATGGTCACAAACCTTTAATTTTGCATGTTTCGGAAATAAAGGTTTAAGAGAAAAAGGAAATGGTAAATCTGTCCATCTCCATCCAAAACAACCGTTACTTTTGTCTAGTCGGCACGTCTCGTTAGTTAAAATATTAATAAAAAATTAATGAGCAAAACCAATTGAACTGATAAACCAACTGAAAACCTTAATTTTATACCCACCCCATCAGTTACGGCAACTCCAGCACTGCCTCCCCATCGCGTTCATCAATACCCAATGTAGTCAAAAGCGAGTTTCTATGTACAAATGTTTTGGTGATCTAGAAGAGTAAAATCGTAAGCTTTTAAGTTTCAAAGCGGAGTTTTTAACTACACAAGCTATAAAAACTGAGATTATGTGTAAAAGCGTTTTAGTGACCTACAAGCGTAAAATCGTAAGTTTTAAAGTTTTAAAACGCGATTTTGGCTACATTGTCAATACCATCGCCGCCATCTCCTCCCTCTCCAACGGAAATATAATAGCAAATAAAAGAGAATCGAACTCGTTCAAATCCCTAGTTGGAAGCGAATCCTTGGTGAGCATGTAACATTCTCGATTCCAATCATTACAGAGCACATCGCAGGCAACGGGAACAGCTTCATCCCCCACATTCAACTCCAACGCCTTTGCGCCATTCTTGCCCTCGTACGAGTTATTGTTGCCTGATCTTGAGTTGGAGGCTTGTACCGACACGCCGCAGTTCGTCTGAAGGAAATCTCTCACCGCAGTCGTTGATTTCCTTCAGACGAACTGCGGCGAGAGATTGGAACGCGAGGGTTTAGCTGAGATTTGGCTCGAGACAGGGGAAATTAAGGATCACGTCAGGTGCCAATTGGGTGATGGTAAAGGGTTCGTTTCGACCGGTTGGAATGTCGGGTTAAGTGGGCTGATTAACTATTTTTTAATGAATATTTACTCTAACGTGTCATGCTGACGGGGCGATCTAGGACGAAATTTGGAATAGAATTGGGCGGATTTACCATTTCGTTATACACTCAAACCTTTATTATCGAAACGTGCAAAATTAAAGGATCGTAACTGTTTTTTACAAAGTAAATAGGTTTGTGAACCCCAGATGACCTCCCAAACTGTCTCCCGCATCTTGTTGTCGCGGTGGACGGAAATCACTTCTTCGCCGTTCTGATTGGCTTCCCACTTTCATGATTTATACTTCATGGCGAAGGCGATTCAAGAAATTCGTATATGGGATTTCAGATCTGGTGGTCGGGAAGTTGAGGGGGATACCGGGATCGGGTCCCCACAGGCAAAAGGAGTTGGCAAGGGTATTTTTCTGGAGGAACGTGAATCATACACACAGGAAGCTAAGTATCGACGGGAGCTTCTCCAGGAGGAAGTTCTGGCAGTTGAAGGTTCGAGTTTATACCAGGATCGTCGCGGGAAGGTGGTTTCTCGATACCTCTACCACGTCAATTTTTGAATCCCCCACTGCCGCGTCCAGGGGCGGAGCCAGGATTTGACCGTCGAGGAGGCCGAAGTTTAGAAAGTGTATTGTGTAGAAGAAATATATCATAAATATAATTAATATTTGTATTTATTTATAATTTATTTGTAATATTTGAGATAAACAAATCACCAGAACTATTATTAGAAATATAAATTTAAAATTTGAAGGACATAATTAAGCTACCTCAAAATTACATGACTTATAAAACAGATTATGAAAACAAGTTATGAAAGTTAAATATGCTTCATGGTGCGTTAATTTCATGAATATTGTTTTTTTTTTAATTTATCACGAATATAGTGGTTTTAAAACTATTTACAGGAATATTGTGTTTTTTGGAAGGAAGTTGGCGACGGCGCCCGAGACTCAGATATTCGAGTTTTAAAGGGTTTAGATAGCGACGGCGCCCCAGTCTCGAGCTTTGGCGCTTTATGAAATTTCAAAAATTTGAAAAGGCGCCGAAGCCCGAGACTTGGGCGACGTCGCTATCAAGTTTCTTTTTTTTTATCCCCTTCCTCCCTCCCTCCCTCTCGCACCAGACCAGACCCATCCCATCCCTCTCCCTCTCCACTCCTCCCTCTCCATCCCAGCGTCGAGAACGAGCGGCGACGCCGAGAACCAGAGCGGCGACGCCGAGAGAAAGGCGGCGTAGCCTCAGTCCAAGGCGCCGGCGTGCGACACAAGGCGAAGGCACTCCATCTATAGCGGCGGCGCTATGTCGGACGACGAGCAGGCCCCCGGCGGCAGAGGAAGAGGCCGAGGCCGGCGAGGCCGGCGCGGCGGCGACGGCGGCGGCGAACGCTACCGGAGTGAGTCCTGCCGGCGGCAGCCGGCTTCTCGCCGACGGCGACTTTTTTTCCGGCGACATTTTTTTTTTTTGTGTTCTAATATTTTTTTTTTCCATTTCCTAGGCTTATCGATCCTTGTTCGATGAGACCACCACCTACGACAATCGATACTGCTCCGAATGATCCGGAACTTCTTTGGGGGCATGGTCACCATCGGATTGACGCAGTTTGGGCAAATGAGGTAAGTTTTTTATTAGCTGTATAATAGAATAGAATTAAATTATGAATAGAATTAAATTAAATTAAGAATAGAATTAAATTAAATTAAGAATATTATTAGATTAAATTAAGAATATTATATTAGAATAAGTTTAGTTTAGTTTAGATATATAAATATAAATATTAGGTGAATTGAATTGAAGGAATTGAATTAATATAGTTTTGTGCATTAATTAATTATAGGCTGGTGATCGACCATACCACATTCGTCATACGGGCAATTTAGTTCGATACAATCCACTGTACCTGCCGTATCTCGTCGATGCCGGCTTGTCTAGTGTTCTGCCACTAGCCCCTCTTACCGGTGATCCGGGTTTGATTACTGCGCTCGTAGAGCGTTGGAGACCCGAGATATCGACATTCCACATGCCGTTCGGTGAGGTGACGATCACCCTAGAGGACGTTAGAATGTCTGCAAAAAATCACCGATGTTGGCATTTTTCTCTTGACCACCCGCAAGAATGTCTGCAAAAAATCATAGGATTCTTCCCAATTTCCATGCAACTTCTCCAATGCTCTTTGTTTCCCATACCAAGCCTTCTTGTAAGTAACTTGCATATTAAACTTATCTTTCAACTCGGCTTGCACAGTTAGAACACTCAGATTTGGTTGGGCACGTACCAAATGTTTGACGGCCTCAGATATCACGTCGACATCAAGATGGCGATGATCCGTCGGTTGAGTCGTACTGCTACAAGTATGCACCAACTCGACCTTTCTCACGCTCCAATCGCCTCCCACATCTCGACATCCAAACCGCACCATCCAAGGACATTTGTCCTCCTTGTGCATCAAACATCTGATCTTCCAGATTGAAGGTGACGACTCCACCACGTTATACTGAAAGTTGCGTTGTAGTGCATAGTGCTTAAACGCCACCTGTGCAGCTTGTTTCGAGTGAAATATCTGCCCCTTGTAGAATTCTCCATCAAAACCACCAACAGTAGACCCTGGAATTACGCCATATGAATCAGCATATGATAATTCATCGTCCTCTTCATTACCCTGCAAGTAAAAATATGGAGGATAATTAGGTAGTTCTCCTCCCTCCCCGTCGTCCTCCTCCTCCTCCTCCTCATCTTCCTCCTCTTCGTCATCACCGTCATCAAAGGCATGATCGGATGGCACGCTCCATGTATCATCACCGTTATCATCGTCTTCCTCTCCATCCCGATCCTCACTGAGCTCAGCATGTATCTCAGCACCCAAAAAATAAGGATTTTGTGCCATAAAATTCCAAAGCACATTTAAGCTATCATCATCGACAATAGGCATTGGATAATGAAATAAAACACCATTCTGCCATTCTGGAAGACAGTAGGTGAAACCTGTAATCACAACACTATTTTGTACTGTTTCGTCTCTTCTGTATTCTCCGAATTAGATGATCACAAAGTTTCTGATAGTTCACCCTGGATGGAATAGTCATCTGGAAACTTAAACCACCAACAAAATGGACACCCAAATTGTCTTCTACTTTCTCTGATCGCCACCGAACAGCTAGTTCAAATCTCCTAAAACCACTACATTAAAAACAAACTCTAATTACTAACTGGACAAAATCATTATGATGAATACATGGAAAAAAAAATTACGACTCTTACCTGTTATTAGCCATCTTCCCAGCAACCAGACAGCAACACCAGAGCTTCTCTCAGAACTTCTTTCAGTTTTTTGGTGATGAAGAACCGAAGGAAAGGTGCAGTATATATATGAATGGGTGGTGCTGGAGTGGAAAAAAATGGCAGCGACGAAGCCCCAGTCTGGGGCGCCGACGCTTTTACTTTCTCAAAAGCGCCAAAGCCCCAGTCCGGGGCGCCGCCGCCAAATTTATTTTTTTAAAAAGCACCTAGCGGCGGCGCCCCGGACTGGAGCTTCGGCGCTTTCAACATATCAAAAAACACAATATTCTTGTAAATAGTTTTAAAACCACTATATTCGTGGTAAATTAAAAAAAAACAATATTCATGGAATTAACCCCTTCATGGTAAAACTAAATTAACAAGGCTAAAAAAAATAATATGGGTTTTTATCACAGTCAGTTAAGAAGGTTAAAGCAATTAAATATGATTTTTGATCACAGTCAGTTAAGAAGGTTAAAAAACCAATAACAATTAGCTGCCAACGTGAACGTGATAAAAACCCATACGTGAACGTATTTTAGTGAACACAAATAGAATTAAATATTTCTGGTGACCAAACGTGAACGTTTTTAGTAATATCAACTACCAAATCGTATCATTTACCCCAACACATAAGAAGTCCCATTCAACTGATCATATATGATTTCAACTACAGATTTTCATGAACAATAAGAGAGCACGAACCAAAAAATTTATCAACGTACAGGAAATTGAAAAATCGTACATCTTAACAAATTGGCATGGCTACAAACAAACAGTTCTCTTTCTACTCTTTGGACAACTCTATCAAGTGACTATGTTTGATAGGATACCAAGTCTATCGTATAAACAAATCAGGAAAGGCTAAATGGTATCGAGGAGAGGAGAGACATTTATCACAAGAAACAAGATGGAAGGGAAGAAGAAAGAATTACAATAAACGCCCCAGAAAAACCCCATGCTCCATCGTATCATTCATCAATTTACTCCCTCAATGTTGTTCCAGCTTCGCTCTTGAAGATGTATACCATTTCGAAGTAACCAGATTCATCTATTCTCTTGGTCTGGCAAGCCAAAGGGAACTAAGAGCTCGTAATCGGGAAAAGTAATCATGGATGGCCAGCAGTGCCCTGGCCGACTGGCGGGTTGTTAATATTCTGTGCATCTGCTGTAGCGTCTGCTGTCGTAAGTTGTCAGCCTGAGTGTTTCCAAAATACCGAAGGCTAGTCATGAAACTGAAATGAGACAAGACATTTAAAGACTAAAGGTGAAGATGTAATGGCAATGCATTTACCTGGCGAATGAACCCCTCGAGGGTCCCAAGCTTTCCCATGGCCATGGCCATCTGACCCATGTAGTTCGCCACATTTCCAGATGTACCAGAGGAGCCTAGAGAACCGCTGGACAATGTTTCAGCCAGGGATTGCTGCAATGCCTCCATCCCCTGTGATAGAGCGTCTTCAGCCTGTTGCGAAGATTGCTGCAAGTTGGTAATTCCTACCAACTGTTGCTCTGTCAAAGGCTCCAATTGATTCACTAACAGCTGCAGTACTATAGCCATTCAGAACCACCACATACACAGCTGGTAGAAGAAGCGGGGAGAAAGAGTTTCAAGGGGTGATTTTGAGCATGAACAACAAGAAAGCAATTATCACCTTTAGGAGTTCAGATGAACGGAACCCGCCAAGCCACAGAAAACACCTCTCAGCAGGCGTCTTCCACATGCCAGACAGCAAATGGAAAACATCAGCCTTGGCTGCATTGCTCTTCAGCCTAAAAATTTCATCATAGTGAGCCATTATACCATCGATGATAATGCGAAGTTCTGTATCTCCAGCATGAGAGTTTACTGCTGCTCGCAGCTCATTTATTTGTCGATTTTGCTCTTCCAGCCATCGTGCATACTCTACGTCAAATGCCATGGCCCCTGCAACAGGCACCAAAATACATTGTAATGTACCTAAGAAAATGTAGAGAATTGCGTACTTCCAAAATACATCATAAACACATTCTAAAATTATACATTTCCCAGAAGCGCACATTAAGGGTAGAATGAAAGGCTGATCATCAGAGAACATTGCAAGTCTCTTTCAATCAGCAGGCAGCAATTCTGTTAAATACTAATCCAAGCCCTGTTTTTGGGACTTCTATATCGACTTAAACACACCCTCCAGCCGACAGTCAAACTAAGAAAGAAGGTCAAACTCAAAATTAATAAGAGAAGTTAGAGGACATATCAACTTTTGGCATGTACCCAACAAACCCATGCCTACCTGCCTTCTCCTCCCTAGCACCTACCCAGCCCCACTCGCCCCTCTTCCGTTCTTTCCTTCTCTCCCAACTTTCCCTCACCCATAATGCTCCCCCTCTCCATTGCAACCTGCTCTTCATTTACATGTCAGTAATTCCTTTTTAACCAGCATAACACCACTTACAACACTTAACTTTTGGAACTCAGAAAGAGTATCTTGTATCTAATGTAATTTCTGAATTCCGGGGGAAGTATTTTAGAATTACCGTTTCCACCCATTGAATGAGCTTGATCTCCTGAGCTTGAAATAAAGATCCCCTGGAGAAGGCCAGATGAAAGATGTTTACCACCAATGTTCAAAACATGATAATTGAACAAATATTGGGCACACAGACCTGTTGACGCGCTCTTTGAAGCTCCTGTTCTAATTGGGTCAACTTCAAGCGGCTACTTTCCAGCTGTTGCACATATGCCTGTTGGCAAAAAAAGAGAAGATCAGGAAAATACCTTCTGCAGTAAGAGTTGCATGGGTCGATACTAGTACCAACTTTATTACATTGGATGCACAGAAGCCAGGGGTATGATATATTTCTGATTCCGAATATGCTTAAGGACTATTAAAAATGAAACAACAAGCCTTAGCCATTCTACAATTTTCTCATACGCAAACTACAAGAACAAAGACCACCACTTGATGCCTTCCATTCCATCTAGTGGGTAATATTATCTAGGAAATATTTGACACATCAGTATAGTGATTCAGAGTTCTAATCTTACAAAATACACCTTAATAAGGAAGATATGGACCATATTAATCCTCCGCGTTTTCTAAGTCAACCAAGTTTCACACCTTTTCATGATCTAAAACTCATAACAGAATTGTACCACGTGATGACTTGAGAGGGAACAGAGTAAATATCATGTAGTCAAATCATGGATGAAAACTTGCAGAATACACCTTGCAAAGCAACACATTAAACCAGTCCAAAATATAAGAGTTGCAATGTTTTCATATGCCGTAGGAAAGGGTCCTTACTTTCTTCCTAAGCCGGCTTTTTCTTGCAGCTTCTCGATTTTGAGCAAGTCTGCGTAGTGTCTGGAGAATACCATCACAAAAGAATCATTCAGAAGCACTGAACTGGTCTAAATCCATAACAGCTAATTATGTAACCCCCCCCCCCCCCCCAACCAAACCTCTCCCATATTTTTTTCACCTTTTGATCCATTTTATCTTTTGATCTATCACTGGAATCAGAAGCGGCAAGGTTTGTCGATAGGGCTCTATCAAACTGCACAAAAGAAAAACTGTCAATCATTGATCTTTCTGTGTGAGAATCAACTGGAAGCCATATCTGGGTCCACATAAATATTGCAAACATATTTATAAAAGGGTGGAAGAAAAACATCACCCTCTGACTTTTCTCATCTGTGTCAGCATCCCCCGAGTCTGTCCGGGGACTAGTATCAGCCATTTCAGATTCTGCTGAATTCTCAGTGTTAACACTAGACACAGAAACTTCGCTCGATCGTTGACCTTCTTCCTCCAACAATCTCCTCTGAGACTCTACCTAAGTAAGGGAAGAATCAGTACTGGACGAAGGTAGTGGTATAGAAAATTATACCATGATAAACAACAGTAGTACAACCAAGTTGTGGCCAAACTGACTGCAGCATTTTACCTTATCAACAGACGCAATTCCGGTACTGCCTTTCACTAGATTGGAAACTGTGCCTGCATTCCAGATATTATATAGGTTAGAAGGTTGAACGAGCGTCAAACCACTTAAGGGTCAAGTGAATAGCACGGATTCGGATTGACTTCTTAATTCATCAAATGGCAAGCATAGAAGGTAGCAATGAAGAAATGCACATTCAGCCTCTGATATTGGTCAGTACTTACTTGCAGTCGGATCAATGGTATTCGCTAAGCGAAATGGAAAAGATTGATCAAATACCCCAAAATCAGAAACAATATAAGAGTTGGCAGGCCTGCCCTCTAAAGAACTGAAACAAAGAGTCATCAAGAAAATTAGTTAGAAATAACTTAGGGGTCGTTTGCTTCAAGGATTTGGTACATGGATTTGGTACAAAAAAACCAACTATCAAGGATTTAGGTACAATCCGTTGTTTGCTTGCACCTTTTTTGGAGACCAAATCCGTGGGGCCCACGGATTTTAAGGGTCCAAATCCGTGGACCCCACGGACTTATAAATCCCACATGTTGATGTGGGATTTGGAATATGGCATAAATCCTTGATGGGATTTTACCCATATACCCTCATGCACTTTTAATATTCCAAGATTGCCCTTAAATTTAACTATTATACATTATAATTAACAATAAATGAATAATATAAACATTCAATTAATGTGCAAACATGAGTTAGATTTTTTATATCATTTCTTGTGTTCTAGTTTTCTTTGACCTTTTCATGGAACGTGTAATTCTTTGTTCTCCCGATTCTAATATATGTTGTTATATGTCACTTTTGAAAAGGAGGACAAAGAGTTGGTAATTGATTATGTCACGTTAAAAGTTAAAACGAAATTTTCTCGTTTATTATTATTGTCCATGTGACAACATTATGCTTATTAGTATGTATTGTCCTTGTTTTGTGTACATATCATAAACATGTTAAACATATAGAAAATGATAGTAAGCTAATTTTGAAGTTTTATCCTTGTTTTGTGTATATATCATAAACATGTCAAACATATAGAAAAGGGCAGTAATGTAATTTTTGACTTCAAGTAGTAAATCTCACACCTTTAAATCCATGATAAAAATATCCCAACAAACAAAGGATTGTTACAAATCCATGATGCCTCAAATCCTTGATAAATCCTTGGGTTTTTAAATTATAAAACCCTCATTTTTAAATCCATGAAGCAAACGACCCCTTAGCAAAAATTCAAAGTACATCAGCAAGGGTATCAAGGACTAAGTAAAATCAAAAAGTTATTAGGCAAAAACATAAGTACATACATTCAACTTCTCCAGTGGCTTGCTTATTTTTAGTTATGAAGCAAAAAAGAGGCAAGAGCACATATTTGAAAACAATTCGGAAATTTTGTTAATGTTGCCGATGGTCATGCAATGATAAAGATAAAGATTTTGATTGGTTAAAAGACGAGCAATTTTCTACGCACTTTCATTCACCCAAAAAATCCAGGTCATCCCAGAAATAGAAATAATGTAAGAATGTTGAGTATATCTTATCACTTATCGGACCGAGTACTTCTTTATACTTCGTTTCCATTGTTTGAGGACATACATGAAAGCTAAATGCATTAAAGGTAAATAGAGAAGCAGACAGAGACATATGGATTTCTGAATGAAAAGAGATTAGGATGATGAACTCTGAATTTCCAAGTACCTATGAAAGCGTAAGTTTCAAGTGTCCGTTTATATCTATCAAGCACATAAGATGATAAGACAAAATAGTCTCAACAAAAATAAATATGAAGTTGAAGGAAGATCAGTACAAATCAATGAAAAGAGAACAGAAAGAGAAGCTTTACTGTGCATGATTCACAGGTAACTGTGGATCAAAACTCGGCATCCCGCTTGCTCCTTCTCATCCCTAGCTAAAACAAAGTAGGAGGATATGAACATCTTCCTTAAGTAAATGAAAAAAGACCAAGAAATGAGTTGCAGTTTACATGACATAGAACCCAGTCCAGGTACACATTTAGACAAGAATGAACCCAGGAGCTCATACTGATAAACTCTAAACTCGTCAGAGCTAACCTGAAATAACTCACGACCAACTACAACGATAAGGAAAAGCCATAAGCAGAGGTTTACAACCATCAATAGAGAATGGTCCATAAGAATTTCACAGCACAAAAGCAATCAAGGCAAGCCCACGGGTGAAAAGGGAAAAGAGGGAGCACAAACAAGTGCAAAATAAGCACGGGCTTTATCAGAAAGGCCAATCACCCAGAGAGACTTCTGAAACCTCCTGGTCAGAAGACCTCCAGTGCGAATTGAATTTTAGCAGATAACTGCCCTCAAGTTATTCGTAACCCTATAATAACACTCAGACACTGAAATCAAAAGACTCCTATTCATCAAGAAAAGAGAAGGCCAGTAATCATCAATAGACAATACAACACCCTAGAGAGGACAACTTCTAAGAATCAAAGCCACTAATATAACATGCAGTTCAGACTTCGTTCCACCATTTGTCAGCAAGAAACCAGAAGAAAACACACCAGCACCATAGATTTTAGTTCTATTGAGCTAGTCAAACGAAGAACAACTAGCCAAGATCAATTATCTCGGACAGCAAACCTCAGCTCACAGAGCCACAGTTCTGCACCAATTCCATGATCCCCACAAGTCAAACTAAGCATGAAAACAAAGCAAAACCCATATCAGGAACTCCCAAACTTCCAAAAGCACAACCTCACCGCCAAACCAGAACACTGTAAACCAACACCCAAAATCAGAAAATCAACCCCCTGAAACCTTTTCGATTCCACGGTCTAAAAACCATCAAATTCACGCACTGGAATCAGGAAAGGAGAAGAAAATTGACTTTTACACTGAACAAGGATTGTCAAGGCAAGTCAAATCGAGTAAAGGAGGCCGGGCAACTGGGAAAAAACGCAAGAGCTGGAAGCCAAAACGCACCTGAGATTTTGCTGGTGAGATGATGATGTGATGATGATGGTTGAGTCGGGTGTTTACTTTTCCAATTGGGAAGGTGGATTAAGGATTTAGAGAGAGAGAGAGATCCCAACGCAGTAGCAGCGTGATGGCGAGGAGGATCGTTCCAATCTCTAGACGTCGTCTTGTGTGTGTAAGTATTTCCTCTTTCCCAGAAGAAATTATTTTTTAATGAGGCTCGTTAATGGGTTTTAGTGGATTGGTGTTTGACATGAATCGTTTTACTTTTGTCCTTTCTCTTCTTTTTCCCTGGTCTCAATTTTCTTCAACTCTCTGCTTCACTTTGTCTGAAAACACTGCTTGCTGCCAACAGTAACGGAAAAACAAATACAGCCAAATCTTTTATTCTTTTCGGTGAATAATACAGCCAACTTGCTTACACAGCATCTCCGAACTATTGAACTGAACTACTTTGTACATCTTAGTTAGATGACCGAGTTGTTATTCTGGCTTTGTAACCCTATTATCCTAACACCTATGTAGAAGGGTATATAAGGGTTGGTTATGTAGGTGTCTATCGTGTGAGAAAGTAAGCAGTCATTAGCTGCGAGATAATAAAAGTACAGTCGAGAGCGTTTGCTCTCTGTGGAGTAGTCACGTTCACATCGAACGGGGAAACCACGTTAATCGTTGTGTTGTTTGCTTTCGCGTTTAGATTATTTTATATGGTATTAGAGTGTTGATCCATATCGAAGATTACAGTCATGACTATCGGAGAAGACGGCGGTTCAGGCGGTAAGGGCATCCTCACTGATGCTGAAGTCATTCCGCTCACGTCACCTCTCTACCTTCTCCGTCGGAGAATCCTGGCCAATTATTTGGTAGCGATCTCCTGACGGACTCGAACTACAGCGAATGGGTAAGTGATATGACCGAAATCCTAATTGCAAATAATAAGCTGGTGTTCGTTGATGGCAGCTTCCCTCGATCGAAGGTAGGACCTGGAATTAGAGATGAAGCTTGGGGCAGATGCGACGCCACAGTTAAGGGCTGGCTTAAGACAACTATGAGCAAGGAGGTCCGCAACAGCGTCAGAGCCGCGAGAACGGCTGCTGCAACTTGGGCGGATCTCAGGCAAAGGTTTGGAAAAGGTTCGGCCTCCAGGGCTTATGAGTTGCGTCGCTCGATCGGCTCGTTGCGGCAAGAGAAGCTATCGATGTCCGCATTCTACACTAAGCTCGTGACATATTGGGACGAGCTGCACTCTGTTTCACTTAATCCACGCTACACTTGTGGAAACTGTACCTGTGATATTGCGAGACAGGTTAGAGAGAAGGAAGAGGCAGAACGCTTATTTGACTTCTTACTTGGTTTGGATGACGCGTTTGCCGTAGTTCGCTCACAGATCGTGAGGGCTAAACCTACCCCATCGTTGGCTGAGGCTTATCAGCTGGTGGGAACCGAGGAACTGCATCGACATATGACAGGCGGAAGGCATTCGTTTGTGGAGGCTGTTGTGTTCATGAGTCGATAGGAGAAGGAGGTAGGAGAGACGCCAAGATGCAGCCACTTCAATAAACTTGGACATTTAAAAGAAGCTTGCTATAAGCTGATCGGATACCCAGGAGAACAAGGGAAAGCTCGCCAAGGTGAGCATGGGAATCCCAACATCGAAGCAAAGGTGAGGGCAAGCCGCAGCAGGCACGCGCGGCGAAAGTCGAGCTCGAGGAGAGCCTAATTCCAGGAATCTCCGCAACACAATTTGCTCAGTTGAAGCAGCTCTTGACGCCACCAGCGCCTCCAACTTCGGAATCAACTGCACACATGGCTGTTAACTCTCGTGAACTATATGAATGGCTCATCGATTCTGGTTGCAATGAGCACATAGTGTGTGATGTTGGTTGGTTAAGCTAGGTAGATAGCACGAGTGTCCATCCCCCAGTGTGCATCTCAGATGGAACGACTGTGCCAGTACAGGGAGTTGGGTTGGTTATTTTAAATAAGCACTTGCACTTGGGTCGAGTGCTTCATGTTCCCACATTCAAGTGCAACTTGCTTTCCGTTATTCGTTTAACAAGAGATAATCACGTGAACTTGGTTTTTGCGGGTGATCTATGCTTTATTCAGGACTCACACTCCAAGACTACGATTGGGATGGGTCGTCTTCGTAACGCGCTTTATTACCTTTAGCGCATTGAAGGACAAGGGATGTGTGATGTGGTCACCACTGGAGCATTTGTGGCCGCAGCAAAGAAGGAGTCAATGGAACTTTGGCACACGAGATTAGGCCATCCATCGGTTGAAAATTTTCAGTTTTTGAGAACTAGTTTGTCTTTGTCGGATCATGTTCATCAGGCGCAGCATTGTGACTCTTGTCTTCGTGCCAAACTTACTAGAGAGCCATTTGTTTCTCATTCGATAAAGACATGTGCTTGTTTTGACATTATTCATGTGGATATTTGGGGTGGTTATCGAACCCCGGCTTTGGATGGATCTCGTTATTTCTTGACGATAGTTGATGATTTCAATAGGGCCATGGGTGTATCTGCTTAAGTTCAAATCAGACATTGAGAGGCACATACGTCTTTTCTGTCAAATGGTGCAGATACTGATTTCCAGTCAAGTTCGCAAAATCAAAGCAGATAATGGACTCGAGTTTCAGTCGAGCAGTTTATTGGAGTACTACGAACAACATGGAATTCTTCTTCAGACTTACGTGCATCAACACCCCGCAGCAAAATGGGGTCGTAGAGTGAAAGCATCGTCACTTATTTGAGACGGCTAGGGCTCTCTGATTTCATTCTGGGCTGTCGGTCCGTTTTTTTAGTGAATGTGTTTTAACAATCGGTTACCTTCTAAAGTTATTGGGGACAGGACACCTTCCGAAATCCTGCTTGGACGCACTCCACCATATCGGCATCTTCGATCCTTTGGTTGTCTTGTCTATACAAAAGACACCAGTCATGGCCTCGACAAGTTTGCCGAGATGGGGAGACATGGTGTGTTTGACGGGTACCCAGCCTCACAGAATGGATACAGAATTTATGACTTTCAGTCTCGGGGAAGTGTCACCTCCCATGATTGTCACTTTGTTGAGGATAATTTCCCTTACAAAAGTGATGGAAAGGATGCTGAGGTTCCACCAACAGTGGATGCTGATCCTCGCTTGCATGAGAAGCAGGCTAATTACAATTGGGAGATGCACCCAACGTACGTAAAGGAGTCCAATGAAGAGGCTCCGCGTTTTGGCGAGGAGATCACTCAAGAAGAAGAGATCATGCTGGAAGATAAAGCCAACGCGAGCGATGGCCCGACGGAGCATCAAGAACCCGTTCCACGTCGAGGGACTCGGGAGAGGCCCCACCGAGAGACCTGTTGGAGGTTTATGATACCGACTTTGTCGGCCGCACACATGGAGACTCCAGAGCACAATACCCAATGTCCAACCAGACAAGTTAACATCTATTCTCTTCGGAGCACAAAGCTTACCTGGCGACCATTAGCAAGATTGACGAACCGCGATCCTACTTAGAGGCGATGAAGGACCCTCGTTGGAGGGAAGCCATCATAAAGGAAATTGTCGCACTCAAGGCTAACGGAACATGGTTTCTCACTCAACTACCGACCAACAAAAGGGTAATTGATGTCAAATGGGTGTTCAAAGTTAAGTACAATCTGGATGGATTAGTGGAACGCTTCTAGGCGTGATTAGTGGCAAAAGGGTTCACTTAGTTGGAAGGGATAGACTTTCTCGACACCTTTTCCCCGATCGCGAAGATCGTTACGGTCAGAGTGCTCATTGCCATGGCGGTCAATGGAGGATGGGTACTACATCAACTTGACGTGAATAATGTGTTTCTGCATGAGGACTTGGAAGAAGAAGTGTATATGAGATTACCTCTAGGATTCGGCGAGCCGGGTGATACCAGGGTATGTCGACTCACGAAGTCGTTGTACGGGTTGCGATAGGCATCGCGAAATTGGTACCAGAAGTTTACTAAAGCGCTCGTAGAACTTGGTTTCAAGCCCTCTAAGGCGGATCATTCTCTACTTATTTACAGTCGTGGTGATGTTTTTGTAGCGGCACTCATATATGTCGATGACGTGATTTTGACAGGTACAGATGAGGCTTTCATTACCAAAGTCAAGGCGTTCCTCGACAGGAGGTTTAGCATAAAAGACTTGGGAGTCTTGAAATACTTCCTTGGTATAGAACTTGCAAGGTCCGCCGACGGTGCAGTGTTGAGTCAAAGAAAATACACCTTGGATATTTTAAACGATGCAGGTGTTACTGGGTCACGACCGATCAATCTTCTCATGGAGAACAATCATACTCTCACCAGGCCCACGGATGAACCAGTAGATGATGTCGGCAACTATAGACGCCTAGTTGGGCGCCTCCTATACTTGAGGGTAACATTTCCCGATATCTCATATGCAGTAAATATTCTCTCACGGTTTGTTAATCGTCCTAGTCCAGATCATGTTGCAGCGGCGGGTTCTCCGTTACTTAAAGAAGTCGTCGAGACAAGGCTTGTTCTTCCTAGCTACGGGACAGCTCGAGCTCACAGCCTACTATGATGCTGATTGGGCTGGATGCCAAACGACGCGGAGGTCCACCACGGGTTACTACGTGGAGTTGGGTGGCGCGCCAGTGTTGTGGAGAACGAAGAAGCAAAAGGTTGTCTCACGATCATCAGCCGAAGTAGAGTATAGGGTGATGGCAAGTATAGTGAGCGAGGTATTGTGGTTGAGGCTCCTACTTGCAGAACTCGGAGTTACCCAAGCGCGACCCACTTCACTATAGTGTGATAACGAAGCAGCACTGCACATTGCAGCCAATCCAGTTTTCCACGAAAGAACAAAGCATGTGGAAATGAATTGTCATTTCGTCAGAGCACGGGTGATGTCGAAGAAGATTCCGACAACATCTCAACCGGCAGGCATATTCACTAAAGCATTGGGAACGAAGCAGTTTTAGTTCTTGTTATCCAAGCTGGGCATTCGAGATCTTCATGCTACAGCTTGAGGGGGAGTATTGAACTGAACTACTTTGTACAGATATCTTAGTTAGAGGACCGAGTTGTTATTCTGACTTTGTAACTGATAGACCGATAATTATACATATTTTCACCCCTATTCTGAAGTCGTTTGTGATGAGGAATCTCGTATTTTAAGCCGATTTTACGCTAGGTTGTGTGTTTATGTCACATTTCAGGTCCTGGCGTTG